TATAAGCCCCCACCTCCCTGACCGGGTGTGACTTCCCCGGCCTGTAGTACCCAGACCGGGAGAACATCACCTGGGAATTGCACTCAAATAAACTGCCTGGCCCTTTGTTGCCTCTCATCGCCTGCTTATTTCGGCTAGAATTTATCTTACATAAGGTTGTTTTAAATCCAGTTTCTCCACATGGTGTGGGTATTCATGTGTCTGCTGTAAAATTTTCAATGTGTTTGCTTGCAGGATAGTTGTTGAGAACTTGGGGTTTTTCATCATATATAGTATATGTACCATATTACCTTTCTAAGTTTCAAAAGTCTTGAATACAGCTGGCCCCAGGAGTTTCAGAGATGGGACTGTGAGCCAGTATCATGAAGTGGAGTTGAAAGCCGGGCTGCATCCTGGCTCTCACTGTGAAGCCCTGCATGATGCTGGGCAAGCCCTCCTCCCTGATCTTCAGTAGGCTCACCTATGGAATGGGTCCTTTTTTGTCTCAAAATACATTGTTGGCTCAGAAACCAGGCAGCTAAGTTTTTTTTGAACTATGTTAAGAAAGAGTAAATAGGTTCTGAATGAGATTTGAGGATCTTCTCTGAGCAAAGTTGATGACTTTTATTGTGTGGCTGTATTGGCAATTCTTTGCCTTTCTCACTGGCTGATTTTTTGGTTCTTGGTGAGATCCCATAGAAAGGAAGCTCTGAATTAGATTAGCTGAGCTATTGCCATACCTTGGCTTTCTGTAGCACCCTGCCTTGGTTGGAAGTTACATTGGATGGGCTCCTCTTCCTCAGCTCAGAAACACAGTTGAAAGGGAGAGGTTGCTCTGGAGGGTTCTGGGGTTTATTTGCAGTTTCCTGTTGATGACAAGAAATAGTTACATAGGTGAAGTCTCGTGCTGGACACCCATACCTGGCTTACCTTCCAAAGATGCAAATAGAAGGCACTTTGCAAACCTGCCAGCATCAAACAGGGTGAGGGAAGTAACACACGCAAGTGCCTTGGAATAAAGGGGAATGACAGCTGAAATCACTGAACCCTCACTACGTGCCAGGCATTACATGGATTAGTTTATTTAGCCTTTCCAAGCCTATGAAGTAGGTACTGTTATTAATCATTGTATTTTGTAGATAAGGGAAGTGGGAAGGTCAAGTCACTGCTCAGGGTCACACAGCTAGTGAGTGGGAGAGCCAGGATTCAGATGCACAGCCCTGTCTCTTACCCTCTCTCCCATATTCCTTCTCATTTTCTACACTGCCTTCACCCCTTAAAATTTCCAAATAGTTGCTTAGCACCTTACTATGACATATTAATAGGTAAATCTGCAGGGAATTTAGAGAAGACTTCCTTTATCTCCAAAGGCCATCAGAAGTATTTTAAGTGGAGGGAAAAGTCCTCTGGAATGTGAAGATTAGCCATAGTGGTGGGAGGAAACAGCTGGCATGAGTAAACCACTTCTAGCTTCTCCACCAGCCTTCTGTGACTCTGGGAAGTTTTGTCCCTGCCCTTAAGCTCTTCATCTGTAAATGGAGTTGGAAAGCCCCAGGGTGAGAAAGTGTAAGGGCAGAAGAAACAACTCTGGCTTGAGAGTCATGGGGTGTGGTCTGACTAGGCAGAGTGACGTTGGACAATAAGAATAAGAATACAGTTCCCAGTGTCAACTCATACTCATCAGACAAGTAATCTCATCTCTCTGAGTCTCAATTTCCTTGTCTGACAGCAGGTATAACTTATTCAACAAACATTTATTGCACTTTTACTGTTTTTCAGACTCTGTAAAGGGCTAGGGTTATGATGATAAAACATACATAGTCCAATTCTTAATAAAAATACAATCCAGTGGGGGAGACAGACAGAAAGGACACAAATACACACACACACACATATACATATGTATACACAAGCTGAGGTTAAGTGCTATGAGGAAGAATAACAGATTGGACTGTTGGTAATTTAGACCAGTCGTTCCCAAATAGGGATGATATTGCTCTTCCAATAGCGTTTGGAAATCTCTAGGGACATTTTTGGTCGTCATAACTGGGCATGGAGCTACTGGCATTTAGTAGGTAGAAGCTAGGGATGCCACAAAACATTGTACAGTTCATATGATGGTCCCCTATAAAAAAGTAATTATTGATCCCAAATGTCAATAAGTTGTGAGGTTGAGACACTGGTACAGATTGAGGTCAGAGACTTCCTGAGGACGTCTCATTGAAGGTGAGAATATCGACCTTGCAGGGTTGCTGGGAGCATTGGAGATAATGGATGCAAATCCTGAAGACAGGGCCTGGTGCACTGTGGATCCTAGGAAAGAGCACGTGTACATGGCTGAAGCAGGGCTCTGGGGTCAGAATGCCTGGATTTGGAATCTTGTATCCCTTTTAGAGCTGAGTGACCTTGAGCAAGTCATTCAACATCTCAACCTATTTCCTTGTCTGTCAAATGGGGTGATGTGGATAAAATTGTAATATTTGCAGAATATCTCACCTGGCTTTAGTACATCTGCATGTCAATAAGCATTCAGAGGTGGAGAGAAGTATGGCTTTAGTGTATTTGCATCATTCCTCAGGGGTGGAGAGAAGTTAATGTCCTTATCAATGGGTAATTACCTGGGCAACGGAGGGCTTATCTGTACCTGAGAGGAGAGGGGAGGGCCGGTTTTGCTTCTGTTGGAGCAGGAGAGACGGCCCGTGACTGGTTTGTGAGCAATAAATGGATTTTGAACTTTATTTCTCCCTTTGACTGATTTTCAGTTATTTTGTCCCAGGATTTCCTCTCCCCAGACTTACAGGTGAATACACTACCTCATAGGACTGCTGTGAAGATTGTGTTAGAGCATACAGGTTAAGATGCTGTACTGGTCTATGGTAGTCAATCAGTACAAGTTTGTTATTCAACAAATGGTAGTTTTATCATCAATAACCTCAGTGCCATTCTAAGATCACATTCAGGATAAAAAGTCAAATGGTGGGGCTGCAATGGAGAGAACACAGGCCAGAGAACTTGCTCCAAGAGTCCCCTTTCTAGTTGTGCCACCTATGGCATGTCCCCTCTCTGCTTTGGGCCTGTCATCTCATCTGTAAACAAACATAACTCCCACCCCACAGAATGACCATGAAGATCTGTAGCATGTGAAGGGTCAAGGAGCAGAACAGTGGGGACTCACCCCACTCCTGCTCTTGCTGCCCATAGAGAGCCCCAAGGCTGGGCCACCTGCCAGGGACCGCTGCAAGCGCTCCTTCACAGCCACCAACCGCAACTCCAAGTCGATCCGGCGCTCCTCCTTGGCACGGCACTGAGCTTCCAGGGTGGCCATGCCCTCCTCCAGAACCTTTAACTTTGCTTCTGTGTCCAAAGACAGTGATGAAAAACCGCTGAGCCTGGCCTGGAGCATCAGGGAATTTGGCAGGGCCATAGTCTCTAGTGTGCCCTTCTTGGAGGGCTTTTCCAGCCCTCAGTCCTGGTTAAGAGATAGACTTTGGGCCTAGAATTCCAGCCCTATGCCAGATAGTGTGTTTTTACCTGCTTGGGACCCATTTCTCCATCTTAGAGACAGAACACTGATTTTCTGCTGGGAAACTACCTTCTCCATTCTCTGCCCCACCCCCATTCCCAATAGTTTGGATGGGGCTGACCTCACTCTTAGTTCCAGGGATTGGTACATAATTTAGACCTGGCCCGTAATCATATATCCATTCTCTAGTCACAGTGACTGGTTTAGGGTTCAGAGTTGAACTAATCAGAGTGAATCCTGGGGCTTTTGTGAGGGCCATTGGGAAAGAAGCTCTCTGCAGAGCTGGCTGAGAAGACTGGGTGAGGGCTGGAGCTGCATAGCTCTTATGCCCACCCCTGTGAGGGGCACAGATTGAAACCAACATAGAGGAAGGCAGAAGCAAGAATTAGAGAAATAGGATTTCTGTGTGACATTTAAGTCCCTGGTTCTCACTACACCTGATCACTTAATTACATTTTTTCTTACTTTCGATGTCTAAGCCAGTTTGACTTTGGTTTCTTTTACTTGTAACCAAGCTGTAACACAAGGCTTTACTTTGACCAGGCGTTCCTACTGGGATTTTGCTTCTAAATCAGTTTAAGTCAACAAACCTGTACTAGTATCTTCTTTGTGCTAAGATTTGTGTTGGTTCTTACTCAGGTTTGCCCTGAGGGAGACTGCATTGTAGTATTTTCCAGTAATAGTGAAATCTTCACATCCCATTCTATTCCATGCATTCATTCATTCATTCATTCATCCATTCAGTAAATGCTTATTGAATGCCAATTATTACCAGATACTGTTCTGGGTCCTTAGGATATATCAGTGAACAAAACTGGTAGAGATCCTTGCCTTTATGGACCATGTGTATGTGTATGAGAGAGAAAAACAATAAAAGTAATAAATGTAATAATCTAATATGTTACAAAGTGATGTACTGTAGAAAAAAAGTTAAGCAGGACAAAAAGGATAGCCTGTTTCAAACTCTGTTCTGACACTTAGAAAGTTCATACTTATATTGAAACCAAATTGTCTTCCTATACCTCCCTCCCACTGATTTTGGTTCTTGGCCACACAGAGCAGGTCTTATCCTTAAGTCAGAAAATTTCAATCTGAAGCTCATGGACTCTTAGGCAATCTATGGCTGAGTTCAGGGGCACATGGGCTTCTAAAATTGTTCACAACACTGAATTTTTTTTTCCCTTTAGGAAGGGGTACATAGGTTCTATCAGATTCTCATAGGGCTATGTAACCTTGGACAAATTCTATAAATACAGGATCTCTGTTCTCTCCAGCATGTGTAGAAACCTCAGGCTGAAAGTGTGCTGAACTGCAGCTACTGAGAAAATTGAAAGGAACAGAAGAAAGTGAGGTGCAGAGGAACTCAGAGCAGGCAGGGCCTGCAGAGGTCAAGGCCCTAGATTTTGGAAGGGGATCCTGAAAAACTGTCCCTGTCTATTATTTTAGCACCTGGAACAATGTCTCACAGAGTTGGTGCTCAGCACATATCTTTGAATGAATGAATTACTGTAAGGTTCAAAATGATAATACTTATTTCTTTGGTTCTAGGACACACTTTTTCACATTTAAACATTTCTAAAATCAGATAACATTTTACTACATTAAATGTACATGTTTTTGTGATGCTTTTTCATTCCCTTACCCAAAAAGAACTTATTAAAGTGATGATACTTCCATTAGCCAGGAGAGATGACGATGCTGAAGAGAAAGGATGATAAGGAGGGGAAATAAGGGGAGGAGTCCCCCTTTCCTGGATAAGAAACTGGGTGATCTGTACCAGCGGAGGTATCAAGTCTGAGCTCCCCATGAATACTCAGGACACACCCACATTGGTACCTGGGCTGCTCCGGATGGCTTCCTTCAGCTCCCTCTTCTCCTGTCTTAGTGCCATCAGCTCAGTTCGGATAGTCTCTTTCTCTTTCTCCAGCTTCTCTTTTTCTACCAGGTACCTTCGGGCATCTTCCTCAGCTCGGTTCTTCCCATACTTGTATTGATTGGCACCTGCAGGAAAAGGCCCTCAGTTCTGACCTCTGGTAAGGGTACTTGGGTGATGGTAGCTTCTCTCCCAGCCTCAATTACTCCATCTATAAAATGGGTGTATTTAGATCTATACCCTTAGATAAATTTAGTATGAATCCTCTAAGGAAGTAGGAAGCAAAAGGAAGGCAATAGAACACAGGGACTAGGAGCAAGGGCTTTGGAATCAGATAGACTAAATTTGCGTTCTCTTTTGCCCTTTCCTGGTTGAGCAACAGGAGGTGAAAGTGAGTGGTTGGGCTTTTGTGCCTACCCTCTAGACCTTAGTTTCCTCATTTGTAAATGTGGATATTGATCAAATCTCCCTCTCATGTTGTAAGTTTTAAAGTGAGATAATTCATAAAAAGTACTTAGTGTAGTACATGGGAAATAGTAAGTGCTTAGTAAATGTTAGATAATATAAAGCAAATTTTGTGAGGTATAACACACTTTGTTTTTAAAAGGGTATGTTTTATAGTCAACTCTCAGGTATATATAAGACAAGAAGACAGGTACATATAGTGCAGATCCATAGATGCTGGGAGCCATGCTACTCAAGCTGTGTAGCAAAGCTCAGGCTGGAGGAAGACCCCACAAAGCAGGGGCCTTCGCAGTTGGCTCCCTCTATTACCCACCTTGATTTTTTTTTTCTCCATTATACTATTGGTTTTGTTTTTTGCTTGCATTATTGCCAAGAGCTAAGCTAACCTTTGCTGAGCAGTGTGGAAAGGATGAGAACGTAAGTTTCCCAGGAGCTTTTCAGGACAGTGCTCCTGAAGAATAGAACACGCAGGGGCCAAATGGTGATCTTGGCATAAAGTACCGAAACCTGCTGTTAGTTAGTCAAACTCTGACCACCCCATTTCCACTGAGAATGCCCCCCTTGTTTACAATGCTAGTGAAACTAGTGATGGAAAGTTTTATAGAAATAGAGTCATGAGAAAATATTGAATAGAATAACCCTGTTGACATTTAATTAATCATCTCATGTTTTCTTTCCTCTATTACTTCTATAGTTTGTTTTTCTTCTTTCCTAATTATGGCCCTTTACTAGAATTTGTGCCTCATATGTGAAATTACCAAGTACCATAATTTTCCAAGAAGTAAAGACACCTCAAAACAAGTGCTGGGCATAGAAGCCACGGAGCATAAATCTGCAAAGAAGTGAAAAACTAACCTTTTCAAAGAATATTACTTCTCTTTCACTTACCAGCTTTACATCTCCTTGTATGGCCCCGTAAGATGACTGGTTAGCCAGAGACGGGTAAGATTCCTCAAGGGAGGAACAACCTAAGACAGGCACAGTCGCAGGGGGGCCATCAGGTGAGAAAAAGGGGGTGAACAGAGGTGAGGCTTAGGACCACATCCCCCAGTTTTGATAGAAATCTTCTACACCTGTGGATGTTTTGTTGCCCTTGTTCAGCTTGGATTAAGACCTGGTCTGTAGGCACAAACTGATCATCTACACCTACCTTCTTACAGTTCTAAATCATGCTTCTATCTGTATCTTGCATTTACCTACTACATTAACATTTTATTAGATTCACATATAAAGTATAAAAATCAAATGAATAATTATACATCGTATTTGACTTGTTTATACTTTAAGGTTTGTAGTTAAAACAGAAACAGTTTCTGTGATATGAATGCCCTTGCATTGTTCATCATGTAAGAACTTGTTTAGTCCCTGCAGTAGTGGAGTCTTGGAGACCTGTGCAGCATATGTCAAGGAAATTTTGGTATCCACACAGAAGAAAGAGAAATGTAGATAAAAAGGGGAAATTTAGTTTGCTGTCTACTGTGCCCTATAAAGGGGTATAAGGTGAAGATATGAGTTTATGATTTTAGATTGATTATACATTTATTAAAGCCTCTAAGAATATTTTTGTGGGAAAGAATCCTAGCTAACTGTGGCACTAGGTGACCTGTATTTCACCCTGAGCTGATAGACTCCATAGTCGCTGCTACATACTACAGGTTCCTACGGTCACATGCACTACTTAGAAACTGTGTTGCATAGAAACGTAAAACAATAGAGTACATGTTGATAGGAAAAGTTTTGGTCAAGGAACAGAAAAACAATCACCTGTCTAACGCTTGACCAACCATGAATAGATTAGAAAGTAAAAGAAAGAAAAAAGCTTGCCTATACTTATTAACCAACTGCCTATACTAATTAATCATCAGAATAATAAAAAATAATCATATCCTTGTGCAAAATGGTATAAATAAAGCTGTCATTGACACTTTGTTGAGAGACCACCTCCATCTGANCCCCCCGCTGGAGCTGGACTCCAGCACATAGAGAATTGAGACGTTGGGCTAAACTTAAGCTTGGCTAATTTTTTTTACTGGGAAATGGGTGGGGGCAGAGAGAAACCTAGTAGTCTGCTATAGACTGTACAATGGTGCACAATAACAAATAGTTATGGCAAAATGTATCAAGCATTATATGTTCATCTACATTCATTTCCATTCACTCCTCAGAAAACTTAGTGCTTGATCTCACTGCTAATGGTGGTAGAGCCCAGGTTTGAACCCATGTCTGTCTAACTTCAGGGTCCATGCCATGTAATACTACTTCAGCTGGGGCAAGGCCAGAGTCCAACCTCTCAGGGAAAGTTTTATTTATTTTTTGCTTCAGACAGCCATACACAGCCCTTTGTAATCTGGTGTGCTGTGGAGTGATTCTCATGGGTAACTGATAATTGGGGGTCTTTTCTCTCCAGCTCTTGTAGGCAATGCAGTGGTCACCTAGTGACCCATGCAAAAATGAGTTCCTGTCACAAATACCCTGCAACTTAAACTGATCATACATAAAGCATGGAGGGTAGAGAAGGGGATCCATACTTCCCCCAGCTTCCTAGATAAACAGTGGCATCCTAGGATAGTTGGCTATCAGACTTGGATTTTATAGACTGGTAAAATAAAAATTAGTGGTTAGACCACCAAAGGTTGCCAGCATTATATATTATCAGATAAGGACCTTAAAAACTCCAACTACTATCTGTTACTCCCAATATTTTATAAAGTAAACAGTGTTTTAACATCCAAGCAGAGTTGGAAGGACACAAATACAGAATAAATACTCATTTATATTGAATAGATTTATCTTTATGAAAAACTTCATGCACTATGCAAATTTTTCTCATTTCATTGCAGTTGAGTGCAAACTTCCTTAGGGACTGAACCAGCAAGTGGATTCAGCTTTGGGAGCTGCTGCCCTGGTTTGCCTTTATGTGTCAGTACCATGGAGAGCAGCAATTCTCAGACCCTACTCTGTAATACTTAAGTCACTAAAATGGTGGTGAGGAAGCGAACTAGATTATAATGGGTAAGTTGTAAGGGACTATAATACTGTGAGCCTCACAGTACTAGTGATAAAATGTTTGCTTCAGAACTGCCAAAGCACCTTCCAGAAGAATCAGGGCTTCCATAGTGAGAAAAAAATGTAATGTTTAGTGTCCATATTTCTAATGTAATTGATGCACAAATGTAGTATGTATCAGCACTTCATTCCTTTTTATTGCTGAATAATATTCCAGGTGATTTTAGGGGAGCAACTTCTATTGTTTCTTATGAGAAGTCAGCTGTTAATCTTATAGGGATCCTTTGTAAGTGATGAATTGATTTTCTCTTCTGCTTTCAAGACTTTCTCCTTGTCTTTGTCTTTATCATTTTGATGTTAAAAAGACATGATGTGCACATGAAAAGATGCTCCACATCACTAATTATCAGGGAAATGCAAATTAAAACCACAATGAGATATCACCTCACAGCAGTTAGGATGGCCAACATAGAAAAGACCAGGGAATTCAAGATGGTGGCGTGAGAGGTAAGACAGAGAATTCCTCCCAAAACCTCATATAGTGTGAAAATACAGTTAATAAAACTAGCTCTAGAACACCAACAGGAAAGAAGGCTACACCAGACTGCATACAGACCTTACGAACAGAGCAGACCTCAAGAAACAGGGTAACGTATGAAAGCCTTGATCTGGTGGGACCCAAGCCCTTCCCCCACATCAGCTCACTGGCAGGAGGGAGAGAAACAGAGTGGGGAGGGGTGGAAGCCTAAGATTGCTGAACACCCAGCCCTGGAGATCTGCTTTAGAGCACAGACATACATTGTGTGGTGTGCTGGAGGTTGGTGGGGTTAGGGAGCTGGGACAGGTGGAGTGCTTGAGAGACTGAGATTCTGGCCATTTGTGTAGGATGGAGATCCACATCCAGCTGCTCTGGGACAAGGGAAAGGCAGGCGGTTTGAGAGACTTCCTAGCAGTGAGAGGTCTGCTGAAGGGGTGGGATTTGCATGGAGCCCACTGCGTGGGAGAAGGGATAGGTGGACAAGGTTTTCTGGGCATGCTCTGCCCAGCAGGTTGCGAACTTTGAGGAGTATCAGGTACTCCAGCCCCCTGACTGCCTGCTCATCCCTGAAGCCCCACACTGACATGCAGCTTGCTGCACCTTCGTTCTGGCATGCCGGCACCTGCTCACAAACCAGCAGTCACTGCACTGGCATCAGGCAGCCAGAGGGAGGCCCCACTTACAACAGCTAGAGACATGAAGCACAGAGGCTTACACCTGTGTGCTCAGCCCACTGGTTCTGACACTGGAGACAGGCACCACAGACAGGAATCAGGAAACAGCTCTTTCCTCCCCCAAGGCATCAGCTCCACTCCAGTATGATCCTCAACCTCACTCTAGGGGCTGAGCAGCTCCAGAGACTAAAGCTTCTGGGCACTAGAGGGCACCACATAGAAATACAAAACATCAAAGGAACCTGGTTCAGACCAAAGTCTCACAAACCCCAGAAAAAGGGCCAAATGAAACTGAACTCAACAATCTTCCTGAAAGAGAGGTCAAAATAAAAGTCATAAACATGCCCATAGAGGTACATAAATATTCAAGAACTCAGGAACGAATTTAAGACGGAGATTCAATCATTAAGAAATTCCATATCTGAAATAAAACATACAATGGAGG